ATAGGGAAACAAGAAAAATATAAGTATTAATCTTGATAGCATTTGCATTCATTTTGTAGCGGCGGTGAAGGAACTCGAACAAGAGACACAAAGTTCTGGCTTCAGTTGTCGCTAAAAAAAAAATTCCAGGTGCTTCTAGAGTTTTACGTATCTGTTCATCTGCAAAAATTGTGGCCAGTCTTAATCGTGGATCTTGACCAAAGCTTGACAACGTCAAAATTGGAAAAGCGAAGCCTCAAAAATGTATTTTAAAAGTTGTTTGTTGAACACACTGAAAATTCAAAATATTTACCGGAGCAACTGTATTGCTTACCTCAAAACTGACTCACTCACCGCAAAACTTTTGCCAACAGGAGCCTTTTGTCAAAACAAACGTAAGCTGTATGTCTATAACTCCCTCTCTTTACAGAATTTCCACTGCACCCTCTCTGTACGCTGATGTCATAAACAAAAATTTCGCCCATCAATATATTTTTTTGCAAAGAGGTGACTGCTACGCGCGCTGTGATTGGTCGTTGCCCATGATCTATTGGAGTACAGATAAATGGATGACGAGTAAACTTGTTTTCTTTGTTTTGTTCAACATGGCGCGCGGTTTTGAAAATGTTTGTGGGATTATTTCCAACTAAAGCACGTGAAACCTTCGAAAAAAGTTTAGGAGGAGCTATTTAAAAAGAAGAAAAATGGAGAAACGGACACAAAAAGAGCTCTTGAGTACCTGAGGATGCGTAAACAACAAGAAATCTTCACAGCAGTTTCCATCGTGTGTCATCGCTACGAAAGACTCGCTGTTTTGCAAAATGTTTTCGCCATTATTCTGATTTGAACACGAAAAGACGTTGAAAAACTTTTCGAAGAAACTGTATACAAGTCCGATAAAGAAAAAGAGAAGAAGCAGAGACGAAAAGAAGCGTTTGGGACTTATACAATGCCTAAACTAGCACATATCGTCGAACAGTCAAGCGGTACGAGGAAATTATGTGTATCGGTCTTTTTTCTTTGCTGATCATAGTATAAAACAAATAGATTCCATGTTACCGTGGGTCTGTTCAGTAATAGATCACAGAAGAAAAAAACGTAAGTGACACACTCGCCTGCTGCTCGTGTGCCACTTCTTTGTTTTTACCACATTTTGACGTCATCTGTGAACCATTACTGAACAGACGCACAGCAACATGGAATCTTGTTAAATAGCAAGGGGACTAGACGTCCAGAAGCTCCGCTATGAAAAATATGTTAAAACCGCGACAAGCCGACGTCAATTATTTGTATGTGGCAATTAAAATTAAATCGATCATGAAATTCCAAATATCCTTACCATTTGCGTCTTCGTAAATAAATTTGTTTTCCAATTCCAAAAGAAAAATGGTCGTCTAACCATTATCTCAGCTTTTCCATCCCAGCGAAATAGTTATGTGAAGACTTTTTAATAGACTGTTTGTAGAAACGCCCTTTTTCCTTTTTGGTTGGTATGCCTCACCTCATTTGGACAAACTTCAATTTGGCGAAAAACTCAAATGGCCGGAAAAATGCCCTTTCTGTCGTCTTATTTTAAATTTTAATTGTAATGAATTCTTTTAAAAAGAGGAGGCTGGCCGAAAAATAAATACAGATAACGATGCCAAACTTTTCTTATCTTGTCGATCGGGTACACGTGCCAGGGTCTTCGTGATCCCTGAGTTGTACATACCCACGCAAAAGCTACTCGATTCGAACCCTCGGCGGATTTTCACGGGACAAAAATGCATGCAGGAAACAACAAGCAATTGCCAAAGGAATGTTACTAGCTAAATGTCGTGGGTCGTAGGTAGTGGGTAAAGGTCGTGGGTGTGGGTCGTGGGTGTGGCTGTGGATAAATGTCGTGGGTAAAAAAAAGTATAGAAAAAACAAAAAGATAAAGTAAAAGCAATTGAAAAAAGTTGTAAAATATTTATGAAACGAAAATCTCCAACTCCTCGATTGCCCTTTTCGTCACGGCTTCTTCTTCGTCCTCCTCTCGATATTTCCTTAGCTACGTGGGACTTGGCTCCCCTTTCACACCATCACTGTATAACGGCCATTACATGTTGTCGATGAAGATTTATCCATACCTGAGCTATCGCTGCGGAATAAACGAAAATTATACATACAATTTGCACAAAGTATGGGACAGCTCTGACTCGCTGAATGGAAGTAGCTGCTCACTATTAATCTTTATTCGATCTGCAATTCAAATGATCAGCGAAGATTTTTTAACACGATGGAATGCGATCACCGTGGGAAAGTGGAGGTGAAAAGGACAATTTTGAGGTATTTCACATTTTTGGATAGAAGTCTTTCTTAAAGAAGTTTTAGGCTAGCTACTAGCTTACGAAGGAGCCACCTTCACGCTCAACCTTTCAAGTTAAGGCGAGACTGTATGTAAAATTTATTGCTGTACGTAAATATAATTTTCTCGATTTTTTTTTTTTGGTTTTGTGTACAAAATCTTTGCTGTAACGATTCTAAATATCATTTCTTA